TAGTCACACAACAACAACACCTATTGTAAATAATCAGCAACACATCAACACAAGAAACAACACAGTCAACAAAGTCATTCACTCTGAAACTATAATGTCTGCTATGTGAGTTACAGCCAACCAGCTACCATTACTCAGAATCACTGGGTTAGTATAAGCCAGTGACAAGAACATGGTCCCCCCCACACTCGATCCATCTCAGTACGCGTATCGTCAGAATCGCTCTACTGACGATGCTGTGAATGCTGCACTTCACACTGTTCTCACGCACATTGAGGGAAAGGACACGCATGTGAGGATGTTGTTTGTTGATTACAGCTCAGCATTTAATACTGTTTTCCCTCTGAGGTTGTGTGAGAAGCTCCTCTTCCTCGATCTGACACCATCCCTCTGTGCTGGACTTCCTCTCTGACAGACCTCAATCAGTCAGTCAGAGTTGGGGGCCGGTCATCTGGCATCAGAAATTTAAGCACAGGCTGTGTGCTGAGTCCAATGCTCTACTCCCTCTTCACCTATGACTGGGTGGTCACTCAGAACAACACCAGCATTATTAAGTTTGCTGATGACACCACAGTCATGGAAATGATCACCGGGGGAGTGGAGACGGACTACAGGGCTGAGGTGGCCAGGCTGGTGACGTGGTGTCAGGAAAACAATCTCTCCTTGAACACAAACAAAACCAAGGAGATGATTGTTGACCCAAGGAGGAGGGAGGTGCTGCATTCCCCCATTTACATCGGCGACACTGAGGTGGAGAGGGTGGAAACATTCAAATTCCTCAGCACACATATCAGCAGTGATCTCACATCATCAAAGAACTCACAAAGAGAACACACAAACGGCTGTACTTCCTTAAGAGGCTGAGGAAATTTGGGATGCCTCCTGAAGTCCTCAGCAACTTCTACAGAGGTGCAGTCGAGGGTGTGCTCACCAGCGCCATCACTGTGTGGCATGGGAACTGCTTCCTGCAGGACAGGAAGGCCCTCGAACATGTATAAAAACTGCACAAAACATCTCTGGAATGGCCTTCCCATCGCTGCAGGACATCTACACCAGTAGGGTCATCAGGAGAGCCCACAACATCATCAAAGACCACACACACCCACAGCATACACTCTTCACACCGTTGACGTCAGGGAGGCGGTACAGGAGTGTGAAGTCAAGGACAACAAGACTTTGAAACAGTTTCTTTCCTCAGGCCATCAGACTCCTGAACATCCAGAAACAATGACTGATCACTGCTGTTCAATGTACAGTTCTGTTAACGTGTCACCAGGCACTGTGCACTTTAAATGTACGTATATCTGCTGTCTACATCCCCTCATTGATGCTGCTGTTTGTAAATATTCTATATGCACCTTAGTTTTCTGTCTCTTTTTATTCCTTTGTATCTATTTATATAATTGTTTTTATTTTTTTGTGTTATTTGTTTGTTTTTTATACTTATATTTATATTCTTTGTTATGTATATTGGAGTGTGCAAACGAGACAATTTCATAGCCCAGTGTTAAACTGCTGTTTTTCATGCTGTGCATATGACAATAAATGTCTATCTATCTATCTATCTATCTATCTATCTATCTATCTATCTATCTATCTCTTTCTTGAATTGAACAGAATATTAATGACTAATTGATCCATCTACAACAATTAAAATGGCAAAAATAAATGCCTAATACAATTTCCAACAGTCCAAGGTGATGCCTTCAGATATGTTGCTTTGTGTAACAAGATCCTAAATTGGGAGAGTAGAGTAGAGCAGAGTTGGGAGGTGTCAATATATTTCTATTTTTAGCAAATGCTGTTACCCAATTGGGGGTGTATCAAGTGGATTTTTAAACAGAGATTTTGGTTTTGCTGCTTAATACAATAATATATATGCATCAACTAATTGGATCACTTAAGTACATAAAACAGACTGTCAGCCTTTGAAAGCACAGTTTATTACACTCAGCCAACGTAGACAGTCTAGTTAAGAAAAATTCCGAAACCTCTGCTGCAACACATATCCATTCATTCATTTTCTATATACTGCTTATTCTAAGTAGGGTTGGTTGTGGGGGGGCTGGACCCTGTCCAAGCTGACTAAGGCAGGAGACACCCTGGACAGGTCGCCAGTCTATCGCAGGGCTACACTTAGAGACAAGCACGCACACTCACATTCACACCTACCAGACGTCCGAACTATGATGCGACAGTGCTAAACAACATGTCTTTCCAAAAACAGAACCATTGTGCTCTGAACAATCCACATTAACAGAGCAAAACGTGTCAACTTTCAGTATAATTACTTTCTATTAAAGAAACAGTCTCTTGCTCTGCTGTCTGCAATCTGGTCTATGAATCCTGACCGCACTGGAAAAGGGTCCCCCTGACCAACAGTCGAAAACCCAAAGACATTCAGTTCACTGTGATGTGTGACAAACAAAAGCATCAAATCCTCAAAACTGTAAAGATGGAATAGGAATTGTCTGCATGTTCACTTAAAATGCAGTACATTAAATAATAACAAATAATGACTCCATTATATTTACGTGTTACCTAAATAATTTAGTGTCATCGCAGCTAATTGCTAAAAATCACTGACTGCTTATGACTCCAGCTATGCCTATATCAGCATGGATACCTGTCATTACTGGCTCATTTAACATAGTGTACAATTTCATATACAGCCACTGAGCATGTAGGACTAGTAATTTGAAACTTGCACACTTTAAATGTGTTGACATAAAAAAGTGGCACTATTAGCTTTGGGTTTGACAACTTACCACTTTCTATTTAAAGTGACCAAAGTGAATCAAACCAAAAGCTCACAGCATTCCTTTACAATGCTGCCCCTGGACACTTGTAGTGAACATAAGAACCACTAAGTTCATCCCAAATGCTTTTACTCCACTGGGCCTTTCTTTAATTACCAGTCATGACAACACAGTCAGTCTGTGTGTGCATTAGTTAACTATCACTAATGCATACACACATCTACAGGAGTCTCCAGGACCACATATTCCCACAATGCACACACATACAAATTTACAAGTAGGCCCGTCAATCATCACATAATTACTTGACTGCAATTACTTTAGCTGACCACGATCATTTGGTAAAATTGTTTCACTGGTTTCTATCACCTGTATAAAATCAGCTGGGGTAAACAAAAAGAACTGTAACGTTTCAGCAAAACAGACACCAAGAACAAACTGTTCTTCGAATATCAGTGCATTGTTGGTTTTTGTCAGGAACTTCAAAGTTAGGGCAACGTGTCAGAGCTTCATTAATTTATAAGACAGTAAGTGATGAGCAGTGTAAGACAGGTCAAGAACTGTTATCAGAAACTGTGAGCTGACAAGTTCTGGTCACTGACAATGATGATGTCGACATTAATTCAACTTGTGTCTACAAAGCTGGAGAAGGCTCTCAGAAGATGTGAAAGTCCTTTCAGCTTTCTGTTTACACCCTCTAAAATATCATTTAAAAAAATGACAGGGAATTGTGGAAGTCGAGACATGATGTGGAAAAGCAGGAAAACTTTCAGGAAAAACTGCATGTTTGCTGGCCAGAAAAGTAAAGCAAAACCTCCGGGAGACTGCAAAGGAGCTGCAGATAGATTCAGCTGATACAGAAACAGTGGAGCATCATTCACTGTGCAGTCTACAGCCATCAGAAGAAAATCACCTCCTCACAAACAAAGGACATCTAGATCAGCCAGTAATCAATAGGTGAAAGTATCATTAGAAAAGACCAGCAGCACTCCAATGGAAAATGTAGCAGATTTCCAGTGATTTATATGGTGGCGTATAACCTCTGCTATAGGGTTGTGTATCAGCAGGTGCTGCAAGAAATGTACAAGAAATAGAGGGAAAATGGACTCCACTAAATATCGACATAGTTTGGGTGCATTTTACATACTGTGTATCTCTCTAAAAATAATATATAATGTAAAATATCCAATGTTTTATGGCTTTTTTGTGAGTAATAAAAAGTTTTAGAAAAAAGTCCCTCTTTGATTTAAAGTTTTAATAATGAATGCATGACAGGGTTAAGATCAGTTCTGTATGGTGTGTTGCAGTCTCGCCAAATAAAAGAACACTTCCTAACTCTTGTTGTTGTCCTGTTGTCACTGGCTGACTGCACACACACTGACAGATCTCCATACAGCAGACACACACACACACACACACACACACACACACACACACGCACACACACAAAGAGCTGTTGATGGAGGGGATCCTTGTGCCAGTATGTGGCCCAGATGTTGTGCCAAAAAGTGATCCTTTGCCAAAAACAGATTGACATGCAGTTTCTATACCTCTACAGCTGCTTGTACATGGATCAGTCATGAAATGCAAATACATGGAGCTATATCTGTGGTGACAGCAAAGCTTTGTCTTCGTGAAACTTTACTGTTTCTTGCAACTGAATAATTGTGACCAAAGAAACGTTTGCAGTGTTATTCAGGCCTGACATTAAGGATTACTCTAGAGATGCAATAAATAGTCAATCAGTTTGTTAACTATTAAACTTATCACCAACTTTTTGATCTTTGGCTTGAGTAATTTAAAAATAATCAACAGATTAATAGACAATGACAACAATGAATAAAATGAAGTTATGCATTACTAACATTTCAGTCATAATGTAGGTGCTACAGTCACTTTTTTTGCAAGTGGAAAATGGAAATAAATGAGTTGAACTGGTCCTTTAAAACTATTTTGACAGGTACAAAACATATTGAATTGGTTCATGTAGATCTCAGAGGATGTAGCATTGTGCAGAGATATGAGGATAATTGCTTTTGTGGACTAAACTCATTTTTTGGCAGACGATCAATTTTTGGCACAACATCTGTTAACGTTCGAGTTTAGTTATTTGAAGGAGATGTAAACCTACAGCCGAAGAGCTGCTGCCTGCTGTGTCTACTGTTCGAGCTCTGCTGTCGAAGCAGTCGAAAAGAAATCATTCTGGAAATGTTAGATGTTAGTTATTTTCAAACAGCTTACCTGGAGGAAGAGGATCGTGTGAAGTTTTAGCGAGCGCTACCCTCACGCTTCACTCGCTAGTTTCTACCTGCAGCGTGCTCCTCTGCGTCAGGATCAGGTGCACCGACAGACTCCACCTCTTTAACTGCCTCTGTCTCTGTCTGCCGGTGCGCTATTTCAACACACTCCACCTCAGCAATGCTGGCTTTACCAGTCTGACGAGCACATCAGTCCAGCCTGTCAGCTTTATAACAACACAGAGAGCTGGGCAGGACGTCTGCAGCACATTCACACACACACACACACACACACACACACACACACACTACTCCAACAATACAGCTAAATAGTGGCACATACACACGTGGACAAAATTGTTGGTACCCCTCTGTTAAAAAAGAGAAAAACCCACAATGGTCACTGAAATAACTTAAAACTGGCAGAAGTTATAATAAAAGAAAACTTTACTTAAAATCAACCAATGAAAATCAGACATTGTTTTTGAATGGTGGTTCAAAAGAATAATTTTAAAAAACAAACTAATGAAACTGGCCTAGAAAAAACTGATGGTATCCTATAGATTTTGTTGCAGAACCTTTTGAGGCCATCACTGTAATCAAGTGATTTCTGTAACTCTCAATGAGACTTCTGCACCTGTCGGCAGTTATTTTACTCCTCGTGAGCAGACTGCTCCAGTGGTCTCAGGTTTGAAGGGTGCCTTCTCCAGACTGTATGTTTCAGCTCCTTCCACAGATGTTCAATAGGATTTAGTTCAGGGCTCATAGAAGGCCACTTCAGAGTAATCCAACATTTGTTCTTAGCCATGCTTGGGTGTTTATATGTGTTCATGGTCATTGTCGTGTTGGAGGACCCATGACCTGTGACTGAGACCAAGCTTTCTAAACATTTCGCCCCAGAATGCCTCAATAGATTTGAGATTCCATTGTACCCTGCACAGATTGAAGACACCCTGTTCCAGATGCAGCAGAGCAGCCCCAGAACATGACCAAGCCTCCTCCATGTTTCACAGTAGGGACAGTGTTCTTTTTCTCTGTGCTTCATTTTTGCATCTGTGAACACAGAGCTGATGTGCCTTGCCAAAAAGCTCCAGTTTTGTCTCATCTGTCCAAAGGACACTCTCCCAGAAGCTTTATGGCTCATCAGTATGCATTTGGCAAATTCCAATCTGCTGCTTTGTTGATTTGCTTTCAACTGTGATGTCCTCCTCAGTCGTCTTCCATTACAGTTTTTCTCAACTGTTTACACACAAATACTGGTACCTGTGACACAATGACCACAACATGTAACTCATACACCAACCCCCTGAACCAATTCTGCTAAACTACAAGCAGAATTCCTGCTTTACACTCAAATTGCAGTTTTAAAACACACTTTTTTCAAAACACTAAACACAATTCTCTGCATTTGGTGCAATTTTCATGATGAAAATCTTTTGTTTTCACAAGGAACACTCTGTCATTCAAAACTCTAAAGATAGTTGCCCTACTATGCACACCGACTCATCACATGGGAAAACACCTGTCACACTGTTTCACAATTAGCAATCAGAGCTTTAGCATAAAAGGGCAACAAGCTCTTCTGTTTTGGAGCAATGGATGCCAACATTGGAAACAGCGGCAGAGCCAGAGGAGTGCAAGTAAGAGGATGAAGACGAGAACAAGGACTGTAATGTCTGATGAGATCCGAGCCACTTTGGTTGACCATGTGGTCAACCATGGTCTAACAATGAGGGAGGCTGGGCAAGCAGGTACACTGTAGCATCCATCATTCAGACTTTCCATAATGAGAATAGCTAAGAAATCTACTCTCACTAGAAAATTGCGGTACTGCATATCAATACAGTACTCAGTGAGTAGAGTGATATAGTATTGTCTGTGTATTGTTCTGTAGGACTGTAAAAATAAAGTATGTTTCAAGTGTTTAGGAAATGTAGTCCTACTTTGTATTCCTACACAGTATTTTCAGTATTTCACTATTTGTATTGCAGAACTGAAAGATTACCAACACAAGGTGGTCGGGAACGTCTTCTGTCTCCTGAACAGGAAACTGAAATCATGAACATGGTCCTAGAAAATAACGCTGTAATGCCGAATACAAAGAAAAATAATAGAAAATGATATCAAAATATTGATAGGGTAAGATTATAAACACTGGATCGTGTCTTACGCAGAAATAATCTGAGGATGAAGAAGGTCTATGGGCCGCCATTTGAATGCAATTCGGAAAGAGTTGAAGAATCGCAATATAACTATGTGCAAGTAAGTCCTATACAATTCCACAATTGATTCATACTCTCAACTTTGTATAAATTCTACTTATTTCAGTATTGTAATCATCATAATGATTTTTTTTGTTTTTACTGTAACTATATACAGTAAATTCGTCTGTTGTTTTGTATGTAGACCACTGTATGTGCACATTTGTGTTAGTTGGGATATACACTGTGTACATTGTTTTGGTGGGAAAAATAAAAACATTGTATTTGTGTGTTTTGAGTATAAAAGCAAGACTCTAAAATCTTTTACAACACACTTATGTATGTACTGTCTGTAGTAAGTGTAACACTGAACTAAAAAAAGGCCTAAGTCATTATGATGGAGAAGAAGTGTTGTCCATTCATCATAGTGTTTTACATTGAGCACATCAGTGTTCAACTGGTTCTTAGAAATGTCTGTTCATATGGTGGTTTGTGTGTCATTTGAAAACAAAATACCATTTAGAGAAGAAATAACATTGTTTTGAATGTAAAGTTTCATTTTGCAGGAGAAAGGGGTTTTGCCCATTGTGTGTGTGTGTTTTTGATTTGTGTGTAGAGTTCTGAGATTATGAGGCATGCTTTCAGGAAATGTGTGTATACAATCGAGAAAAACTGTAACAGAAAATGGTTCTTATAAGTGCATTTAGCAAAAAAATATTGTAGTCACAGTGATATCTACATTCAGCACTTTAATAAATAAATAAATAGACAAAAAAAAAAGAATGAATGAATAAATGAATGAATGAATGAATGAATGAAAAGTGCATTACTGCACAATCAAAGTCCCTGAGATTCATTCTCCAACATCATGTCTTTGTGTGGGGTCCGACCAGAGGACTTCATCCACGTCACAGGCAATATTTTCTGTTGCCAGACAACAGGGGATGAACCTCTGGTGTGCCGAACCCAGGTGTCTGTACAAGACTCCACAGTTATATTATCACAGGACTTTTCTGTTGCTTCCAATAAAGTCCCTGGTGTACAGGACTGTCGGTCATAGACCTTCCACCGCCACACAGAGAAAAACTCCTCTCATGCACATGTGCCACCCGTGCACTCTGAACTGACATTCATCCTGCCCAATTGGTCTGATCACATTAGGAACGTGTGTTCAATTTTGAGTTGAGTGTAAAAAATAACAGCTGTGTTGGAGTTGTGTGCTGCCAGTGTTTACAATTTTGCAGCACAAGTGCATCTTAGTGTGAAATGTGTTTTGTGATTGAGAATGTGTTTGAGGTTTAGCAAAGAAGAGCAGATGACATTTGCAAATTGAGTCTAGATACAAGAAGAGTGTTTAAGGTTTGGCCAAGAGAGTGCTTGACTCAAGAAATGAGTATAGGCCACTGGGAATTTGGTTCAGAGAATGGGTTTAGTGTTTTAGCAATTGGGGAAATCTGTAATCAATGTGGGCTGCTCGGTGGCTCGGTAGCTAGCACCGTCGCCTCGCAGCTTGAAGATCTCCGATCGGGATCTTTCTGGGTGGAGTTTGCATGTTCTCCCCGTGCAGCGTGGGTTCTCTCTGAATTCTCCGACTTCCTCTCACAGTCCAAAAACATGTTGAGGTTAACTGGTGATTCTAAATTGTCCATAGGTGTGAAAGTGTAGCCCTGTAATAGACTGGTGACCTGTCCAGGGTGTCCCCTGCCCTTACCCTAAATCAGCTGGGATAGACTCCAGCCCCTCTGCAACCCTGGTGAGGATTAAGTGGTGTATAGGTAATGGATGGATGGATGGATGGATGGATGGATGGATGGATGTAATCAATGTGTCTCCATGCAGACAGATTTCCACACGAAAACCTTATTCTACCATATGTCCACCAGAGGGCTACAGAAAAACAAGTCGCTGTAAAACCAACACAGTTTTCTGAAGTTCATGAATAAGAAACACTTTGTAGCCTGATGACTGTAATCTATATGGAAGCTTTAAAATGAAAAACGAAAACGAAATGCAATTCACATTTCATTAATGAATCTATTTGCATCTATGACATCCAGGTTGACGAGTTACAGGGTCTGTAGTAAGAGTACTAATGACTCGTGACTAAAAATAAACACGTTCTGTTTCAAATCACTGTGCATTTTCTTCTTTATAAAACTAGACTGTCTTTCCATAATCTAATATTGAACAACCTGCTTTACAGGTTGAAGTGTCCTTGGGCAAGACACTGAATACCAAGTCTCCTGATGGCAGGCACCTTGCATGGCAGCTCTGTCACCATTGGTATGTGAATGTGTGCGAATGGGCAAATGAAAAAAGACATTGTAAAGCACTTTGTAGAACCTAGCTAAGGTTAAAAGGTGCTATATAAGTGCACAACATTTGCTGTTTAATTCTTTAAAATGGCTGTATAGAGATGTATTTTGTTGGACATAAAGCTTGAATTTCTCAAGTTAGTACTTTGATGTATTGTATAATTATAAACTTACTCAGATAACTCAAAAACATTGCGAGCATATATGCTTCCCAGCATGCACTGCATTAGGTTTAAGAAAAAGAAAAAAAAATCTTATGTAAAAAGTGACATGATGGAGGCCATTATGTGTCTTGTATGTCTTTTCTCTGACCCAGATTAAATAATACAAAGACAGGTCTCCTTCTTCATCACTTATTGCAGGGCCTACACTTGTGATTAAGGTGGAGCCAAAGCTGGACTGCTTAGAAACTGAGGTCAGCAACCACCTGCTCCATGTTCTCTAAGTCCAAAACCGGTTGGAAATCTCACCTGGTCCCTCATGCAGTCCTGGTGTCCCATGATAATGGCAGCATGGTGAGGATATTTATGCCTCAGGTGGTCCAGGAACACCTCCTTCTTCCGTTC